ACAGTCCAGGAATTGACTCACTGTCTGGGTGAACTATCAATTTTGTCTGGGAATTTCATGCTCAACCTGTTGATTTTTCTTTTTTTGCTTGTATGATTGGTACATGTCTCCAATCTCCAATAGAGCTAAGTCATCTGTACTTCTTTCTTAATTTATGTTACTTACATTACTCCTACCCAAGTCTCCCTAGTCCCTAACTGTAACTGATTTAGCATGTTATTCTTCACATTGCAAAATGACATTGCGCATGCTTCAGGAACTTCTGTTCAAACAAACCTCACCTGCCATCCGGGTCAGTGATTTTGAAAAGGTGGCAACACTAAACATGGCAGATGTCCAGATGGTATTTCCATTCTCACCAAACCTTCTCAAACATGTTTTGTGATGTTCCTGATGGCAGTGTGAATATGCTGTTTCAATTCTGGAAATGTTGTTGGAAGTGGGAGGGACATAAACATTGTCCTTGATGAAACCCAACAGGAAGAAATCACACACTGTGATATCCAGTGATCAGATTAGTCATGTGCAGGTTTTGTCTGCAGATGCTGAACATCAGGCATATCAGAATTATCTAAATGAACACTTGTCAGATTAATGTATTTGTCATTGATGGTGTTAATATCATGTATTTCTGTTCAATATTAGTGAAAATATAATCTTATGAAATCATCCAATAATTTGTGTACACCCTGTATAATTTCTCAAATCATTTAAAATATAATATACAGTACATTCAATTTTTCAGTTTCATGTTTATTATAATCATAGCATATAATTAACTATTCGTATTTTGAACAGTTCAGAATTTGAACACTAATTCACTTTGGAGTACAAGCAATGCTACAAAATTCAAACTGTGCATGCAGTGAAATATATGCTTGAAGCATAACTACAATTTATTGTGCACCCAAGTTATCTCTTGCTCTCATTGCATGCATTGTGCTCTGCTTTTTTTCACTTTATTTTTGGTGTATGTAGTTATATATATTGTGTGTGTTATTTGTTGATTTTTAACAATTCTTTCTGCAAATTTTCTTTGTTGACAGCTTTTGAACACCCCATACATTTTGTATCTTTTAGTTCAAAATTTCTCAAATGGAATTTTTTAACCATATTTGACATGTTTGAAGTTTAGGAGCATTTTCCCCATATGTTACAATTCTTTTTTACTGTTTGTATGATATATATCTTTATATAAAACTCATAAAGCATGATATGTCTGATACACATTTTATTTGAAGACATTTCTACTTGATATTATTCAAACAAAATATGAAGTAAAAAGTTTAAAATGAGCTTCTAAACAAAGAATGCCATCTCACATTAGCAATAATATGTTAAATTTCACAACTGTTATAATTAAATCACATATCTATGTTAAGTAATGACAGCTGTTAAAAATAAAAATCTTTCTGTTCAACCTAATATAATCTTTACTTATTAACAATGGCATCTGAGAAGTGTGTGAAAGCAATAAAGTCTAAGAAGAAGGTTATAATATCAATGATTGATATGAAAAAGGAAATTATTGCAAAGCATGAAAGCAGTACACATGTGGTGGATCTGGCTATCATGTTTAAGATTCTGAAGACAATGGTGTGTGACCAGTTAATGCAATTTTATTATATAGTATTTACATATTTATTGTTTCCATTTATTATTATTGTTATTCTTACCTTAAATTTTTTCGTATGTATTTGCTATTTAAGTTTATTGAAATAGGTATTGTTTAGGGTCTGGGAATGGATTAATTCACTTTCTAACATGTTATTTCTAAGGGGAAAAATTTATTCAGACTTTGAATGATTTGGAGTTCAAACAGACTCCTGGAATGAATTAAATTCAAAGTGAAGCACCACTGTATTAATTTAGTCCAGTTATATAAGGATTGTTCTTATTTTTTAATTTTTAATCCAAAAAGACCATGGTTGCATTTTTCATTATCCATCAGTTATTATCTCAGATAACCAGGATTTTTCTGTATATATAAGTTATTCTAATGCCACATAACATTACAGATATATTCAAATGTATATGATTTTATATATAACTAGCTGCAAGGACCCGCTTCGCTGGGTTTTTTATTTGTATGTAATATAGTTTTTTTTATATGTATGAAAGACTGTTTTTCTAAGTAATCTAGAATCTAGCTACAAGGACCTGCTTCGCTGGGCAAAAAGTAACGATAGTGAAGATTAAGATAATTCTCATTACATTATNTTCTACAATTAAAAAAAAAAATCTCATAAATTAACCATTTCAGAAGGGATAATAAAATTTAATTTAGCCTAAAATATATTACTTTTGGTCATGAAATTTAATATTAAAATTATATTTTTGTTATAATAAACATTTAAATTCTATAAAATTTACAATAACATTATACAGAATTAGCCAAAATCTAAATTAGAAAGTCTGTCGTGTGTGAACCGCTTCTAAGTGAAAGACAATGGTGAACACTTGGCACATTTAAATTTTAACCTCTTTCTGTGTTTTTTTTACGTTTGTCTCATATAAATATCACTGTAAAACTTTCTTAAGCGGGTCACTCTATACATGAAACGTAATATAAAAAATACATGGAATAATAATATATTCGTTTATTCAGGCTGATTCATAAGTCAGTACACGTAGGCAAAGGACTCAATTTATTGTTTAAACACTCGTGAATCATAGGATACAGGTCCTACGCTGTATAAATGCGATTTAATCCAATGCACATCTGTATGCATTCCTCTTACAATAGAGAGGTTGCGGCCGACGTTTTCAACGCGAAAACGTGTACGTCGGACGTACAGCACCGCTTTCCTATAAGCCTAGAAGTTTGACAATGGTGTTTGGATAGCCAGTGGAATCATGCTTGAATGTAGGAGGGAAATAAAAAGGGAATACAAGGAGAGAACTGAATCTATTTTCTTTCTTTCTTGATGTGGACTACTACTGTATGGATATAGAATCTCAAGATTGAAGAATATGGGGAAAAATTATGAAGACAACTATGTAGAGAGGTGATTGTGAATAATGACCAAGAGGACACTTTTAGTAGAGTGAACTTTAATCCATGTCCATCAGACTTATATATCAGGTATGTCTGGTGACAATTAGTGCAAACATGAAAGATTACAAGTGAACAGTAGTTTGGGAGAATTATTTTATAATGGTTTTTTCCTCCTCCTCTGTTTTTGTGATAATTGAAAGTATTGATATGTATTGATAAGTGATATTGGTGCTTTGTTAATGTATAAAAATATATGAATATAGGATTATGTTCAATTGTTATCACTTAATCAAATAACTCATTCCTTCAATCTTAAATTTTTTTCTTTGGGAACTAAACTGAAAGTAAAAATATTAATAACATCATGTTTGATAGCAACAGAAGAAAGATTGACTGCACAAAGTGTTATTGAACAAGACAATGACAATAACACTTTGTGTTCAGATTTCTCAACATACAAGTTTCATGAAAGATGAAAATTTTTTTTAATTTTAAAAACAAGTGCCTTAAAATTGAAATGTCTAAAACTATAAGAAGCAGATAAAAGCTGTAAACATGATTTATAAGCCAAATCTAACAGGAACAAATTCTGTAAAAAATTAAATATGCTATGAGTTGTGGTTTGGATGTGTTACTACAATCACCTTCAAATATTTGGATCAACAATATTTGTTCATGTGAAGAGAGAAAAGAGATAAAGGAAAATGAGGAATATTTGTTGGATGTGAAGAAAACAATAAAGCTATCCAAAAGAAAGAAAAATGATAAGTTTGTGTACTATTACAGACCAGAGTCAAGGCATAGCAACCAAAAGAAGACAAAAATTGATATATATATAATTGAAATTGATATAAATTGAATAAGTGTGTCAGTGTATGTGTCTGTATTCAGGAATTTCCTAACAATATGACATGTATTCAATACAATGGCCTTCCGTAGTGTGATGTATGTGCTTCTATTCAATTGTAATGTCCCAGGCTTTTGTGTAGTGTGTATGGTATAACACTTGTAGAGGAGAGAATGACAGGTAGAATATCCATTCTCCAAAGATGGCTTATTTCCTGGGCGAGTTCTCTGTACTTGCTGATTTTTCCAGTGCCTGTGTTATTATTATAATTATAACAACTTCTTTGAATATAGTAACAAATTGAAACCAATAATTATAATTTAAATACAATAGAACTGCAATTAACTAAGGTTCTGAATTATCCAAGATGAACCTGCAAGTGAATACACTACTTTTCTTATACTGTAATTCATAAAAAAAAAAAGTTTAAAATGCTAACATGTATTAATATTACAAAATATTTTTGTTAACATTTATCAGTTAACTTCAGTATCAGACAAACCAATTCATATTAAAAGTATAATAAATGAAAAAAAAAGTGTTCTTATAAATGATCAAATTCACTAAGATTTATCACTTTTAAACCTCTTTTTATATCATATAAATCTTATGTTTTTAATTTTTAATCCAAAAAGACCATGGTTGCATTTTTCATTATCCATCAGTTATTATCTCAGATAACCAGGATTTTTCTGTATATATAAGTTATTCTAATGCCACATAACATTACAGATATATTCAAATGTATATGATTTTATATATAACTAGCTGCAAGGACCCGCTTCGCTGGGTTTTTTATTTGTATGTAATATAGTTTTTTTTATATGTATGAAAGACTGTTTTTCTAAGTAATCTAGAATCTAGCTACAAGGACCTGCTTCGCTGGGCAAAAAGTAACGATAGTGAAGATTAAGATAATTCTCATTACATTATAGCCAATCTTACCCATTTTCACAGAATGCAAGAATTAGGTCCCCTATTTCCAGACTAATTAGAGAATTTTTACGAGTCTAAAAATATGTTCAATTTCTGCAAAAACGCAAAACACCGCCTGTAAATCTTGCATGCTGCTTTATATTAACACTTCCTTTGTTACTCAACACTTCCACTATTAACACTTCCACTGTTAACACTTCTATTTTTTTTATTTTACAGATTTAGCAAAGATATTGACTCAGTTGATTCTGAAATCCCTTCTAATTTATACTTTTGTACAGATATATTTTTCTTTTTTGTTGCAACAGTAATTGTAATGGAATTTTCTTCAAAAGTCTTGATTGTTTCATTTATTCCATTGCNTGAAGAAAACAGTAAAGCTATCCAAAAGAAAGAAAAATGATAAGTTCAAGAGATGGTTCACATTAACAATTACACAAAGTTTAGAAATAAAAGATGATTACGTAATGGATTTATTTTCATTTGACATTGTACTGTACATCTCACAATGGTAAAATTGTGATAGATTTAACTGGTAAAAATGGAAATGAAGAAAATTCTGATGTGATTGAAAATGAGGAAGATGATCCTATTAGAACAGTTTACTAGAAGTTTATCTCGACATTTGAAGAAATTTAAATAAGATTAAAAAGAATAACTATCTAAAAGAAGACAATAAGAAGATGATATAGATTTATCTGAAGTTTTACACCAATTGCAAACCTTATGACCCAAGAACTCATTGGACTGGCCATCTGGCAAATACCAGAGACTGATGCTCTCCAGGACTAGTTAAAAAGGTACTGGAGTTAAAAAGGACATAATTTTAGAAGTCCATTAGAAATGTCTTTTATATAAAAATTTTAAGCATATGATTATACAATTATAATTCCCCATTATAATATTAAATTCAAATTAACCTAAGTAACAAACCTATCAAAATAACACTAAACAATTAAAATTAATTAGTTAGTTGTATTTTTTACTTTTAATTCAACAAGGAGTTTTTTTTTCTTTGGAAGATCAGATTTTAATATAATGCCAGGGCTGAATTTTCTTTCCACTCAGCCCTGCAGGAATTTTGCTTGCAGTTACTAATTATAAAGAGTACTTTTTTAAATGGAGATATTAACGAAGAAATTTATATCTTGAAAACTGAAGGAATGACAGAGTGACAATGTTCTAAAATTAAATAAATGTCCTTGTAGACTGCTTTTTCAAAGTTTGTTCATAGATTTGGATTGTGTCAAGCTTTTGATAAGGATCATTAAACTCTAAAAGTCATTAAATAAATGACTGGTAAAATTATATCTTATTGTGAGAGGGTGGTGAAAATCAATAAAATATAATTTTAGTTTTTGTAGCAACATTGTACAAACTTAATGTTAATGGCTGATGTATCTGTAATTTGTATTTTGTGCTTTTTTTAATTTGTGTACAAGGTTGTCTGCTCTGTATATTATTATTTAGAATTAAATTGTATAGTTGTTAAATATGTTGTTTCTAAATAAAAATCTTTGGCAAAATATGACTTTTGAGTTTAATTATTTTCATTTAATTTTATAGTAGTAACAATAATAATAATAATAATAATGAGTATAACTCACAAAACCCAACATAATAATAATAATAATAGTTGACTCTACGGGCACTAGATTAGCCTACTTTAACTAACTACTTAGCTATTACTATTAGTTAACTAGTTAACTTTTAATTAAATCTCTGGTTGTTTTATCAAACTTCCACAACACAGATTTTCAATATTCGAAAATTAAAATCACAAATAAAATTTTCTACATTTTATACTAATTTTTCATTGCAAATCATCTGTTTTGGCACTTTTTTGGATCATCTTGTTTAATAAAAAGTACTGAAATTCTTCTTTATTTCTAGGTGGTTGCAAGCTATATTGTTTTTAACAGGAGGATTTATTGCTTTATTCACAGCACTTTTAGCTGTATTTGGAAGAGATTATTTAAATCCAGGTTTTATTGGATTAGCTTTAACCTATTCTACTTCAGTAAGTATATTTTACTAAGAAAATCAATTATATGGAATATTGACATCTTATCTTAAGTGGCAAAATTACATTAAATAAATTTAAATTCTAGGGTAATATATTGATATTCTTAGACCAATTTTGACATTTAATAACTTATGATATTGGTTAGGAGAAAAACAGAATTAAGTAATGCAATAATTTTAACTTTAATTTAATTTATATTTAAGATTATATTTCATTAATAACATCAAATTTTCAGAAAGACTGATTCTATTTGATTAATTTTTAATAATTAAAAGTACAAGAATTATTTCATATTAAATATTTAAAAAATTTTAGTTTAATTACTAAAATTAAACTAAAATTTCAATTCTTACAATAGATTTTTAGTTTTTACTACTTAATTTTTTCATTTGATTTCAATAATATATATGAAAATTTATTTATTTTTTTAGATATCTGAAGATTTAGGATGGTTAGTGAGATTAATTTCTCAATTAGAAACAAGTATGGTATCTTTAGAAAGGATTTCTGAATACTGCAAGATTGAACAAGAAGTATGCTTATTTTTCTTAAATTAAATCAAAAATATTAATTTAAAATATTATTTTGATATATAACTAGTAAATTACATACAAATCTATTTATATTCATTTATATTTTTGAAAGTATATTCAGCCAGAATCTTAGGCCAGGAACACACATGTGTAAAATTCGGCATAAAATCTAGTATAAAACAGAAATTGTAAAAATTTTTCTGAAATTTTGGCTGAAAAATAACTGAAAAAAAGAGTAGAGCATGTCTCTACTTTTTACGTGTGTAAAATTTTTATGCCAAAATTCCTCCAATAAAGAGAGGTCTTTTTTCATGACATCAAAGTAAACGCATGGTTTTTATTCTAATAATGACTGCAATGGTGGTTAGCCCTACAATTGTGACTGTCTCCAAGAGATGAAAAATAAATGAAATAGAAGACTTTATTGAATCCTTTCGACCATATCAGTGTCTTTATGACAAAAAAAATTACATGTATAAAGACACTGTATTTAAACAAAGTTTATGGTCAGCCATAGGTGCTAAATTTCAAATAACATCTAGGTCTAGTAGAATTGATATATAGTATTTAGATCACAAGTTATTTCAATTCAGAATACAAGTCTATTAATTTAAATTTTCTAAATTATAGCAGAGGCAGTGGAGAAAAAATGGAAGATACAAAAGGATAGATATATGAGAGAAAAATAATAATAAAATGTAGCACTGTTAGTGTCAGTGGCATTTCCTATTCAGCCAGAATTTTTATGTTTGTGTTCTGGCATAAAAGTGTAAAACATACTGAATCAAAAGCTGATTTCTGATTCAGTTTTCTGCCACACAATTTTACACATGGTGTTCTAGGCCTTAGATATGACAATGAAGTAAACATTAAATTATTGATGTGTATACTAGCTTTTATTTTCATTCACTTCAAACATCCAATAAATATCAAAAGAATAGCTGTTGTTATGATGATTAAATTTGGTGTACATTTTCTAGATTAAAATGTGCAAATAATATTTATATAAATTATTAAAATTGTAAAAAGTACATTTGAATTATAAAAATATTTGTATATTTTAAATAGTGTTGTAGTTTTCTTTAAATAAATTTATAGTAAAATTTTTCTTCACAAAGACATTTCACTATTTCATTTCAAAAAGATATTATCATTTAAATTAAAACTAAGTTAGAAACATGAGTTATTCATTTATAATAATTAATTATCAAAAACAGTATATTTATTAGTAATTTAATATAATTTATTTCTGTTTTGGTGCATTTATAATTTAAAAGTTGTCTTTGTTACACTGAATAAACAATTATTAACTTGCTAAATGTACTATAAAAATTTTATTTTATTAGGGAAGTTGGCAAGAGTCAACAATTCCTGTATCAGAAGATTGGCCAGAAGAAGGAACTTTGAGCTTGTGTGATTTTAGTACAGCTTACAGAACTAGTTTGAATCCTGTACTTTGTAATATAAATTTGGATGTTGGAAATGGAGAAAAGGTGCTTATTGAACTTTTATCATTATGTGATTTGTTTTAATTCAAAAAATAATAATTGATAAGGCATGATTCGTAGATAATAGTCTGATTATTTGCAATAAATTATATTTAATGGAGCATAAATATTGAAAATACAAAACAAATAAAAGTACTTGCAAATACACTTTAGTTAGTTTTCTTGTAAAGGTAAAGTTTTTAATCTTAAAAAATGCCAATAACTTAATGAACAAAGTTAAGTTCTGAACTGAAATAAACATATTTATTCAAAAAGGATCGTCATAATAATCTGATGATTTCTCTTTATTTAAAGTCTTAGAAAATTCATTTCTTTCCATTTGTTTTTAGTTTTCTTGAGGATATATTTTTAAACTTGTTAATACAAACTTGAAATTATTTATGTTTCATTAAAGAGGTATTCTTTTGCTAATCATTCTACATATAAGTAGTAATTTTTATTTTTATTTTGTTAAAATATAAACAGTTTGTTTTTATTTCATCCATTTCAAAAACTACTACAGTAGAAGCTCTATATTCTTAGAAGTTTTCTGTGAAACTACTGTTAAAATAAGAAAATGCAAATATAGAAAAGAGAAATATGTTAAAAAGTAATGTCAGAGTATTGAAAAAATAAAAAAAATGTATAATTAGAAAATAAAAATGAATTTTTATATGAGAAGAAATTTTGCTAACATGTTTTTAATCCCCAGCTCTTTTTCTTAATATATCTTATTGTTGCTATATTTATGACTAAAGCACACGCAACCATGGGTGCTGATTCTCCCCCTAAAAATGATCTAACACTTTAATTTTATCTTTGAGGAATCACTTTCTTTGCCTTTTTTGATATTTTGCAGTAATCTTATTTGTTAGATGGCACTGTTGGTTTGTAAGGATAAAAGAAAAACTAACTAAAATCTACAAATAAAACTTACTTAATGCATTCTTAATGCATATTAATATAAAATATGATATTTACTATCCATATAGGTGCACAGTTACTGTTGAAATAATGTGAGAAACTACTAAGTAGTATCCACTAGTATGGTGTAACAGCCAATTAAATAGATTGTAGTAAAGCAATGAAATTAAATAGTAAAGCAATTAAACTTACCTGTTGTTTTCTTATTTTTTGTTCATTCTTCTATGAATAAGCAAATTGTAGCATAGCAAATATGAAAAATAATAATCCATTATTTGTGATTATTTTTTAAAATATTGCAGTTTTTAATTTTAGAAACTTTATAACTATTAAAATAATGACAAAACAATTATGCTACCTGGATTGGAAACACGTCTGTATAGTAAGCAAGAGTTGTGGGATTGAGCCCCACTCTGGATAAATCTATTCTTCCAGAATATTATAAATTTAATTAATTTGTTTCTAATTATTAAATTTAACACAAGATGGCAGCTTAACTACCTATCTTTAATCCAAATTATGTAATAACATAATTAATTTGTCCTATTATAGCTTAATTATTAATATATCTGGCAGTATCATTTGTTTATAACTATACATTGGGCTTGGTTTATATGTAATACATTTTAATTTAATATTTAATTTACATAAGGTTAATTAAATTTTGTAAATGAAATATAAAATTATTAAATAAGGTTATATGTATATAAAATATGATTATTCTTAGTTTTAAATTTTTTTTCAAGTATTGACTTAATTCATATGCTTTCATTTTGTTTGATATTTCATGTTAGTGTTTATTCAGTGATCATAATTTGAAAAACAAAATTCGTTTTAAATTGTAAATAACTCAACTTTAATTCCATATAACTTCATCGTTACTATCAAATATCCTTTCCCTAAAGTAATTTCTAGTTTCTACTTGTATTCAGACCTCATTTTTCTGTTTCTTATGTCAGGTAAATGTTTTTTAATTCTGATTTTAATGAATTTATTTATTACTTAAACCAATTTAAAATTTTTATTTTGCATTGACTTGATTACAAAGTCACTGAATCTACTTCATTAAAATTGAAGAGTTTTTCTTTTTTTAACTCCAATTGAGTAGCTTTATTAATTGAGATTTCTGCTTTGTCCATGTGTGAAATACTATTTGTACAACTTAAAGAACATTATTCATCCATTGCAAAAATAAATCAACCTTGAAGAAATGGAAATTGGATAGGAATATTAAGTCATTAGATATAAAGTTGAATGCTTCAACATTTAGAAATGATTTTTTATTAGATATTTGAACAAATATTTAAATAGAACATTGGCATGAATTACGAGTTATTGATTTTATTTAAATGTGTGAAAGCATAAAGTTATATTTATATTTCAATAAATATTTGTTTTTTATATTTTACAGTCAAGTTTACCTTATGATTATCTACAATTTACTGATAAGATATTCTAACAATTTTCAAAACTAGAATGAGTTTCTTAAGCAAAATCCTTAATTTATATGAATTATTTTATAATCAATACACTTTTTTAAGAAACTCAAGCTTTAGTAATATTTAAGTAACTTTGTATAGCATATTAGTAAATTCTAATACAAGAAATTCTGTGAGAAACCCATTAATAAATAAGTGCAAATACAAAATAGAAAGAAAATTGAAGAGCATAGCATATTAAATATATTAAATGTTTATTATTTTGTAATTACCTACAGATTTTTTTTATTCATAAGATCTGTGCATAAGTATTAACTTTTAAAATGACTAAATAGTTTTTTTTAAATTTAAGATTGGAATTGTTGGGCGAACAGGAGCTGGAAAATCATCTATAATATTGTCTATTTTTCGAATTATTGAACCAATCAATGGATGTATTTTAATTAACAACTTGGATATCAATCACATAGGCCTTCAAAAATTAAGATCAAAATTAACAGTTATACCTCAGGTTACTTTCTCTTTATTCATTAAAATTATTTGTTGCATATAAATTTGTAAACATACAATAAGTTAATCTTTGTGATTTAGGATCCAGTTATATTTGGTGGTACATTAAGGATGAATCTTGATCCATGGGATGAGCATGATGATGATAGCTTATGGTCTGCTTTAGAGCATTCTCATTTAAAAAATTTTGTATCTTCTCTTCCTCATGGTCTTGAATATGAATTAACTGAAGGAGGCTCAAATATCAGGTATACTTTTAATAAATTTTATATTTGTAAAGATTCAATAACATTTAAAATAATTAGGTGAGGTTGAGGCTGAAGTTTTAAATGCGAAAACGTTTACTTCGGACGTTCAGCACCGCTTTCCTGTAAGCCTATAAGTTTGACAATGGTGTTTGGATAGCCAGTGGAATCATGCTTGACATTCCAAACACCATTGTCAAACTTCTAGGCTTACAGGAAAGTGGTGCTGAATGTCTGACATACACGTTTTCACGTTTAAAACTTCAGCCTCAATCTCACTATTATCATTGACACACAAAAACCCTGAAAGCATCAAAAATTAAATTTTTCAGTAGTAACAAAAGGCAATTAATATTGTATATAATAGTATAAGATTTTCCCATGTGAAGGTCATTATAAGTTGTAATCATGTAATTTCCTAGATTAACTACTGATTAAACTCGACAATAGAAAAAAATTTTTATAGTTTATGAGGTTTCCTCAGCAATGAAAACTGCTCAATTATATACAAACTTATTATAAGTGACAGTACAACCAATTCTATTGGTCAGATGTTTCCAAGATTTTTGCATACTCTGAGGGCCTGCACAACTACAACATAAAACTTATTTGACCTCTAGTGGTGGTTACAAGGTTTTCATGTGTCAACAACAATATATAATTATATATTAATTCATTTTATATTTAATTCTTAGTGCTGGACAAAGGCAATTACTATGTTTAGCAAGAGCTCTGTTGAGAAGAACTCGTATATTATTTTTAGACGAAGCAACAGCTTCTGTAGATTTAGAAACAGATCAATTTGTTCACAATACTATACGTGAAGTATTTTCTCACTGTACTATTATAACAATTGCTCATCGACTTCACACCGTTATAGAGTGTGACAGGTAAGAAGTCAACATTATAGGTTAAGAATTATTGTATAGCCAATATAATTAATAATGTATTATTTTACAAGGATAATTGTTCTTTCTAACGGCTGCATTGTTGAAGATGGACCGCCTCAAAGGCTTCTTCGAGATTCTTCATCTTATTTTTATAGCATGGCAAGAGATGCGGGTCTAACTTGAACAAGAATTCTGAAGTTCTTCCAGAATACTTTCATTCAATTTATAGTTATTTGTATCTTTGTTATCTTTAAAAGATAGCAAGGTACCATTCCTCAAAATTTATATTTTGGAAATTTTTATTTTATATAACCAAGTTTACATATGTAGTGAAACATTTTAATATTATATCAAATTTTATTTATATCATAAAATGAATTTATATAATGTTAAAGTTATTATTTTTAGAATAAATAAAATTTATAGATATTAATCTGTAGTTTTTTCTTTAAAAAAATCACACATTAAAAAAGGACAATTTTTATTTTTTTTTTTATTCTTGATATGTACATATCACAAACATCACAAAATTTGTGTCTTCACTGGACAGAAAATGACATCAAATTTAAAATTCCTCACAGAGGAATGCAATAATTATAAAAATACAAACATCCACAAAATCTAAACTACTTTGGTGCAGATATAATTTACATAAAAGTAAAGTTTTAAGTTATATTAATATAGCATCAAATGAAATGTATTCAAATTTGCTTTTAATTTGCCAAATATTATTTAAAAAAATTATATAAAAGTTCTTGAGAATAATGATATCTATATATATATATATGCACATTTCATATTTTAATTTATGAATATTGCTTTAATATATATTTTGTAAAATGGAGGCACTTCAAGCATTTAAAAACATCTTAAATTTTTTTTTATTAATTTTATATCATTATGAATGATAGAATATGAAATAAGCTGAAATATTTCATTTATAATTAAGCTTTTCATATGTTTAATATTATATATTAGATTACAGAATATTAATGCAATTTTTAACAAAATTTTGCATTTTTCTTAAAAAATTTTCTTCTTTTTATAAAATATGAGAAATTTTTGTTATGAAATTTGAGCAATTTAATAGCTTTTAGGTAATGTTAAATAAATATTGCACACGATTATTTTGTACTTTAAATTAATCTTTAGAAAATATTTTTATGATATGTATAAATGGTTTCATCTTTGCATAAAGTTTAGGATTAAGTTGAACCTGTGTTTTTGAAGGAAATCAAAGGAGAAAAAAATCATAAAATGTGCAAATTACTGACTAGAACTTTACATATATACAAAGAATTTGATTGTTTTTTTAAAGAATTTAAGCATGAAAATAAAAATATTTTAATGCATTACTGACTAGAACATCTTTACTAACATACCTACAAAGTGTTTAAAGCTATATTTATAAAATATTTTCTCATAGCGACTATAAATTGAAAATTAATTTTATATTTATCATCTCGGAATTCTAAACAATTTAATAGTGAGTATTTTCATTAATTTCTTATTTTAACATAAATCACGCCTTAAGATTTGGTGGACTGAATATCTTGAGATTCACTTGGAGACGAAGGCATAAAATGCTGTAGAGGATAACCAAGATCATCCACTTGTGGTGGTATGGGAATGAACGGAGGCCATTCCATTAACATTGGATCGGTACAAAAGAAAGATCCGGGCACATCGTGGCAACCGTAATCGTAATAATCATATTCGAAACCGTCTTCGGAACCCGTGATAGAGAATTCGGACAGTGAAGCTGTCAGAGGAGCGGCACTTTCTCTTTGTGTAGGTTTCGACGCTTTACCAAACGGTTTGTCCCTCCTCCTAATAGGAGACATAACTGTGATGTGCTTCTGACTCGCGCCATTTTTGGCTTCGGGATGACGAAGGGCCGATTTCATTGGTTGAGGTTGAGGCGAGACGGCCGCCACGGGCAATGTCCTCTTACTTAAGAACGGACTCTGTACGACAGATTCCGGGGTGGGTGTCACGGAACCGGAAGAGGCACGTCGAAAAATGAAACAGTTATGAAGATAATCTTCCGGACTTTGTTGCAGTTCCAGATTTCGTCTCCGTTTGGGTGGCAAAGGAGAAGCGGATATTTCCGAAATCGACGTGTTAGCCGCCAACAGATGAGTGTTGGGACACGGTTCTTCTTCAGGGTGTTTGTGATGATTCAACGAACAAGGCGAGCCACTTCTAAGACTCGCGCCGTCTTTGGATTGGCGGAAGCAACGGAAGTGATAATAAAGTAACAAACACGTTGTAGTAGTTCCTAATAATACGGCCAACACCACGAAAACCACGTGTACGGCACCCAATTTACTTTCCGGTATAATCGATGGGCTGACTATAGCCAAACTTTTGCTCGGTTCTGTTTTAAAATTAAAATCTAAAATTAGGCTAATGTACTTTAAATTCCTATTTATATAATAAGAGTTTACAAGTTAAATATCCCTAAATACTGTATTATAAAGTCAGGCCTGTCCAAAGTTTGCCCTCTCTTAAATGACTCGCAATGGACTGTCCCAATTTTGACCCTATAAAACCGTCGATGTTAAAATAACACCTGTATAAAGTGTGATCTATTAAAATAATTAGTTTTGGTTTTGTTTTTAAGACTATAAGAATTGTCTTAGTGTGACTATAAATACTTTTCTATACACTTAAAATATTCGTTATAAAGACTTTTATCATTAATTAGGCTGCCACACTTCAAATAGGGAAGGAAAAAAGGTGAACAAAAGTATAATCCTATTTAGACTAAGTTCATATCTCAATTTAAAAACTCAGCCCGAACAATCTCTACTTCCATGCTCAGTAACATCCAAATTTTGAAGCAGAGACGATTCAAAAATATGCAAATTTAAAAGAAACTGACCATTTGTATCTCAGGAATTAAATGGTCACTTGCTCGAAAGGTTCCTAAACATAAAAATTTAATGATTCTATAATCATCGAGAAAATGGGGTGAGCGTTCAAAATCTCAATTTCTCACATGGCTCCAAAGTTCCTTGTGACAAATAATAATTCCATTAATAATGAATGAATATAAAAATTAATGGAAGTAACTCGAGTTTTCGCCATTTTTGGTTGTTGCTGCAAATATTTTCATCAACAACCAAAAATTACAGCAAATTTTATCTTTTATTTAAAATCGATAATGTAATTGAAAATAATCGCATTTGCTGTCTAAACCAACCGTTAATAACAAGTCTTTTGCAGTAAACTAAATTAAGTTTTATATAATTTAATATTTGTTAAATATTACCNTATTAATTTAAAATATTATTTTGATATATAACTAGTAAATTACATACAAATCTATTTATATTCATTTATATTTTTGAAAGTATATTCAGCCAGAATCTTAGGCCAGGAACACACATGTGTAAAATTCGGCATAAAATCTAGTATAAAACAGAAATTGTAAAAATTTTTCTGAAATTTTGGCTGAAAAATAACTGAAAAAAAGAGTAGAGCATGTCTCTACTTTTTACGTGTGTAAAATTTTTATGCCAAAATTCCTCCAATAAAGAGAGGTCTTTTTTCATGACATCAAAGTAAACGCATGGTTTTTATTCTAATAATGACTGCAATGGTGGTTAGCCCTACAATTGTGACTGTCTCCAAGAGATGAAAAATAAATGAAATAGAAGACTTTATTGAATCCTTTCGACCATATCAGTGTCTTTATGACAAAAAAAATTACATGTATAAAGACACTGTATTTAAACAAAGTTTATGGTCAGCCATAGGTGCTAAATTTCAAATAACATCTAGGTCTAGTAGAATTGATATATAGTATTTAGATCACAAGTTATTTCAATTCAGAATACAAGTCTATTAATTTAAATTTTCTAAATTATAGCAGAGGCAGTGGAGAAAAAATGGAAGATACAAAAGGATAGATATATGAGAGAAAAATAATAATAAAATGTAGCACTGTTAGTGTCAGTGGCATTTCCTATTCAGCCAGAATTTTTATGTTTGTGTTCTGGCATAAAAGTGTAAAACATACTGAATCAAAAGCTGATTTCTGATTCAGTTTTCTGCCACACAATTTTACACATGGTGTTCTAGGCCTTAGATATGACAATGAAGTAAACATTAAATTATTGATGTGTATACTAGCTTTTATTTTCATTCACTTCAAACATCCAATAAATATCAAAAGAATAGCTGTTGTTATGATGATTAAATTTGGTGTACATTTTCTAGATTAAAATGTGCAAATAATATTTATATAAATTATTAAAATTGTAAAAAGTACATTTGAATTATAAAAATATTTGTATATTTTAAATAGTGTTGTAGTTTTCTTTAAATAAATTTATAGTAAAATTTTTCTTCACAAAGACATTTCACTATTTCATTTCAAAAAGATATTATCATTTAAATTAAAACTAAGTTAGAAACATGAGTTATTCATTTATAATAATTAATTATCAAAAACAGTATATTTATTAGTAATTTAATATAATTTATTTCTGTTTTGGTGCATTTATAATTTAAAAGTTGTCTTTGTTACACTGAATAAACAATTATTAACTTGCTAAATGTACTATAAAAATTTTATTTTATTAGGGAAGTTGGCAAGAGTCAACAATTCCTGTATCAGAAGATTGGCCAGAAGAAGGAACTTTGAGCTTGTGTGATTTTAGTACAGCTTACAGAACTAGTTTGAATCCTGTACTTTGTAATATAAATTTGGATGTTGGAAATGGAGAAAAGGTGCTTATTGAACTTTTATCATTATGTGATTTGTTTTAATTCAAAAAATAATAATTGATAAGGCATGATTCGTAGATAATAGTCTGATTATTTGCAATAAATTATATTTAATGGAGCATAAATATTGAAAATACAAAACAAATAAAAGTACTTGCAAATACACTTTAGTTAGTTTTCTTGTAAAGGTAAAGTTTTTAATCTTAAAAAATGCCAATAACTTAATGAACAAAGTTAAGTTCTGAACTGAAATAAACATATTTATTCAAAAAGGATCGTCATAATAATCTGATGATTTCTCTTTATTTAAAGTCTTAGAAAATTCATTTCTTTCCATTTGTTTTTAGTTTTCTTGAGGATATATTTTTAAACTTGTTAATACAAACTTGAAATTATTTATGTTTCATTAAAGAGGTATTCTTTTGCTAATCATTCTACATATAAGTAGTAATTTTTATTTTTATTTTGTTAAAATATAAACAGTTTGTTTTTATTTCATCCATTTCAAAAACTACTACAGTAGAAGCTCTATATTCTTAGAAGTTTTCTGTGAAACTACTGTTAAAATAAGAAAATGCAAATATAGAAAAGAGAAATATGTTAAAAAGTAATGTCAGAGTATTGAAAAAATAAAAAAAATGTATAATTAGAAAATAAAAATGAATTTTTATATGAGAAGAAATTTTGCTAACATGTTTTTAATCCCCAGCTCTTTTTCTTAATATATCTTATTGTTGCTATATTTATGACTAAAGCACACGCAACCATGGGTGCTGATTCTCCCCCTAAAAATGATCTAACACTTTAATTTTATCTTTGAGGAATCACTTTCTTTGCCTTTTTTGATATTTTGCAGTAATCTTATTTGTTAGATGGCACTGTTGGTTTGTAAGGATAAAAGAAAAACTAACTAAAATCTACAAATAAAACTTACTTAATGCATTCTTAATGCATATTAATATAAAATATGATATTTACTATCCATATAGGTGCACAGTTACTGTTGAAATAATGTGAGAAACTACTAAGTAGTATCCACTAGTATGGTGTAACAGCCAATTAAATAGATTGTAGTAAAGCAATGAAATTAAATAGTAAAGCAATTAAACTTACCTGTTGTTTTCTTATTTTTTGTTCATTCTTCTATGAATAAGCAAATTGTAGCATAGCAAATATGAAAAATAATAATCCATTATTTGTGATTATTTTTTAAAATATTGCAGTTTTTAATTTTAGAAACTTTATAACTATTAAAATAATGACAAAACAATTATGCTACCTGGATTGGAAACACGTCTGTATAGTAAGCAAGAGTTGTGGGATTGAGCCCCACTCTGGATAAATCTATTCTTCCAGAATATTATAAATTTAATTAATTTGTTTCTAATTATTAAATTTAACACAAGATGGCAGCTTAACTACCTATCTTTAATCCAAATTATGTAATAACATAATTAATTTGTCCTATTATAGCTTAATTATTAATATATCTGGCAGTATCATTTGTTTATAACTATACATTGGGCTTGGTTTATATGTAATACATTTTAATTTAATATTTAATTTACATAAGGTTAATTAAATTTTGTAAATGAAATATAAAATTATTAAATAAGGTTATATGTATATAAAATATGATTATTCTTAGTTTTAAATTTTTTTTCAAGTATTGACTTAATTCATATGCTTTCATTTTGTTTGATATTTCATGTTAGTGTTTATTCAGTGATCATAATTTGAAAAACAAAATTCGTTTTAAATTGTAAATAACTCAACTTTAATTCCATATAACTTCATCGTTACTATCAAATATCCTTTCCCTAAAGTAATTTCTAGTTTCTACTTGTATTCAGACCTCATTTTTCTGTTTCTTATGTCAGGTAAATGTTTTTTAATTCTGATTTTAATGAATTTATTTATTACTTAAACCAATTTAAAATTTTTATTTTGCATTGACTTGATTACAAAGTCACTGAATCTACTTCATTAAAATTGAAGAGTTTTTCTTTTTTTAACTCCAATTGAGTAGCTTTATTAATTGAGATTTCTGCTTTGTCCATGTGTGAAATACTATTTGTACAACTTAAAGAACATTATTCATCCATTGCAAAAATAAATCAACCTTGAAGAAATGGAAATTGGATAGGAATATTAAGTCATTAGATATAAAGTTGAATGCTTCAACATTTAGAAATGATTTTTTATTAGATATTTGAACAAATATTTAAATAGAACATTGGCATGAATTACGAGTTATTGATTTTATTTAAATGTGTGAAAGCATAAAGTTATATTTATATTTCAATAAATATTTGTTTTTTATATTTTACAGTCAAGTTTACCTTATGATTATCTACAATTTACTGATAAGATATTCTAACAATTTTCAAAACTAGAATGAGTTTCTTAAGCAAAATCCTTAATTTATATGAATTATTTTATAATCAATACACTTTTTTAAGAAACTCAAGCTTTAGTAATATTTAAGTAACTTTGTATAGCATATTAGTAAATTCTAATACAAGAAATTCTGTGAGAAACCCATTAATAAATAAGTGCAAATACAAAATAGAAAGAAAATTGAAGAGCATAGCATATTAAATATATTAAATGTTTATTATTTTGTAATTACCTACAGATTTTTTTTATTCATAAGATCTGTGCATAAGTATTAACTTTTAAAATGACTAAATAGTTTTTTTTAAATTTAAGATTGGAATTGTTGGGCGAACAGGAGCTGGAAAATCATCTATAATATTGTCTATTTTTCGAATTATTGAACCAATCAATGGATGTATTTTAATTAACAACTTGGATATCAATCACATAGGCCTTCAAAAATTAAGATCAAAATTAACAGTTATACCTCAGGTTACTTTCTCTTTATTCATTAAAATTATTTGTTGCATATAAATTTGTAAACATACAATAAGTTAATCTTTGTGATTTAGGATCCAGTTATATTTGGTGGTACATTAAGGATGAATCTTGATCCATGGGATGAGCATGATGATGATAGCTTATGGTCTGCTTTAGAGCATTCTCATTTAAAAAATTTTGTATCTTCTCTTCCTCATGGTCTTGAATATGAATTAACTGAAGGAGGCTCAAATATCAGGTATACTTTTAATAAATTTTATATTTGTAAAGATTCAATAACATTTAAAATAATTAGGTGAGGTTGAGGCTGAAGTTTTAAATGCGAAAACGTTTACTTCGGACGTTCAGCACCGCTTTCCTGTAAGCCTATAAGTTTGACAATGGTGTTTGGATAGCCAGTGGAATCATGCTTGACATTCCAAACACCATTGTCAAACTTCTAGGCTTACAGGAAAGTGGTGCTGAATGTCTGACATACACGTTTTCACGTTTAAAACTTCAGCCTCAATCTCACTATTATCATTGACACACAAAAACCCTGAAAGCATCAAAAATTAAATTTTTCAGTAGTAACAAAAGGCAATTAATATTGTATATAATAGTATAAGATTTTCCCATGTGAAGGTCATTATAAGTTGTAATCATGTAATTTCCTAGATTAACTACTGATTAAACTCGACAATAGAAAAAAATTTTTATAGTTTATGAGGTTTCCTCAGCAATGAAAACTGCTCAATTATATACAAACTTATTATAAGTGACAGTACAACCAATTCTATTGGTCAGATGTTTCCAAGATTTTTGCATACTCTGAGGGCCTGCACAACTACAACATAAAACTTATTTGACCTCTAGTGGTGGTTACAAGGTTTTCATGTGTCAACAACAATATATAATTATATATTAATTCATTTTATATTTAATTCTTAGTGCTGGACAAAGGCAATTACTATGTTTAGCAAGAGCTCTGTTGAGAAGAACTCGTATATTATTTTTAGACGAAGCAACAGCTTCTGTAGATTTAGAAACAGATCAATTTGTTCACAATACTATACGTGAAGTATTTTCTCACTGTACTATTATAACAATTGCTCATCGACTTCACACCGTTATAGAGTGTGACAGGTAAGAAGTCAACATTATAGGTTAAGAATTATTGTATAGCCAATATAATTAATAATGTATTATTTTACAAGGATAATTGTTCTTTCTAACGGCTGCATTGTTGAAGATGGACCGCCTCAAAGGCTTCTTCGAGATTCTTCATCTTATTTTTATAGCATGGCAAGAGATGCGGGTCTAACTTGAACAAGAATTCTGAAGTTCTTCCAGAATACTTTCATTCAATTTATAGTTATTTGTATCTTTGTTATCTTTAAAAGATAGCAAGGTACCATTCCTCAAAATTTATATTTTGGAAATTTTTATTTTATATAACCAAGTTTACATATGTAGTGAAACATTTTAATATTATATCAAATTTTATTTATATCATAAAATGAATTTATATAATGTTAAAGTTATTATTTTTAGAATAAATAAAATTTATAGATATTAATCTGTAGTTTTTTCTTTAAAAAAATCACACATTAAAAAAGGACAATTTTTATTTTTTTTTTTATTCTTGATATGTACATATCACAAACATCACAAAATTTGTGTCTTCACTGGACAGAAAATGACATCAAATTTAAAATTCCTCACAGAGGAATGCAATAATTATAAAAATACAAACATCCACAAAATCTAAACTACTTTGGTGCAGATATAATTTACATAAAAGTAAAGTTTTAAGTTATATTAATATAGCATCAAATGAAATGTATTCAAATTTGCTTTTAATTTGCCAAATATTATTTAAAAAAATTATATAAAAGTTCTTGAGAATAATGATATCTATATATATATATATGCACATTTCATATTTTAATTTATGAATATTGCTTTAATATATATTTTGTAAAATGGAGGCACTTCAAGCATTTAAAAACATCTTAAATTTTTTTTTATTAATTTTATATCATTATGAATGATAGAATATGAAATAAGCTGAAATATTTCATTTATAATTAAGCTTTTCATATGTTTAATATTATATATTAGATTACAGAATATTAATGCAATTTTTAACAAAATTTTGCATTTTTCTTAAAAAATTTTCTTCTTTTTATAAAATATGAGAAATTTTTGTTATGAAATTTGAGCAATTTAATAGCTTTTAGGTAATGTTAAATAAATATTGCACACGATTATTTTGTACTTTAAATTAATCTTTAGAAAATATTTTTATGATATGTATAAATGGTTTCATCTTTGCATAAAGTTTAGGATTAAGTTGAACCTGTGTTTTTGAAGGAAATCAAAGGAGAAAAAAATCATAAAATGTGCAAATTACTGACTAGAACTTTACATATATACAAAGAATTTGATTGTTTTTTTAAAGAATTTAAGCATGAAAATAAAAATATTTTAATGCATTACTGACTAGAACATCTTTACTAACATACCTACAAAGTGTTTAAAGCTATATTTATAAAATATTTTCTCATAGCGACTATAAATTGAAAATTAATTTTATATTTATCATCTCGGAATTCTAAACAATTTAATAGTGAGTATTTTCATTAATTTCTTATTTTAACATAAATCACGCCTTAAGATTTGGTGGACTGAATATCTTGAGATTCACTTGGAGACGAAGGCATAAAATGCTGTAGAGGATAACCAAGATCATCCACTTGTGGTGGTATGGGAATGAACGGAGGCCATTCCATTAACATTGGATCGGTACAAAAGAAAGATCCGGGCACATCGTGGCAACCGTAATCGTAATAATCATATTCGAAACCGTCTTCGGAACCCGTGATAGAGAATTCGGACAGTGAAGCTGTCAGAGGAGCGGCACTTTCTCTTTGTGTAGGTTTCGACGCTTTACCAAACGGTTTGTCCCTCCTCCTAATAGGAGACATAACTGTGATGTGCTTCTGACTCGCGCCATTTTTGGCTTCGGGATGACGAAGGGCCGATTTCATTGGTTGAGGTTGAGGCGAGACGGCCGCCACGGGCAATGTCCTCTTACTTAAGAACGGACTCTGTACGACAGATTCCGGGGTGGGTGTCACGGAACCGGAAGAGGCACGTCGAAAAATGAAACAGTTATGAAGATAATCTTCCGGACTTTGTTGCAGTTCCAGATTTCGTCTCCGTTTGGGTGGCAAAGGAGAAGCGGATATTTCCGAAATCGACGTGTTAGCCGCCAACAGATGAGTGTTGGGACACGGTTCTTCTTCAGGGTGTTTGTGATGATTCAACGAACAAGGCGAGCCACTTCTAAGACTCGCGCCGTCTTTGGATTGGCGGAAGCAACGGAAGTGATAATAAAGTAACAAACACGTTGTAGTAGTTCCTAATAATACGGCCAACACCACGAAAACCACGTGTACGGCACCCAATTTACTTTCCGGTATAATCGATGGGCTGACTATAGCCAAACTTTTGCTCGGTTCTGTTTTAAAATTAAAATCTAAAATTAGGCTAATGTACTTTAAATTCCTATTTATATAATAAGAGTTTACAAGTTAAATATCCCTAAATACTGTATTATAAAGTCAGGCCTGTCCAAAGTTTGCCCTCTCTTAAATAACTCGCAATGGACTGTCCCAATTTTGACCCTATAAAACCGTCGATGTTAAAATAACACCTGTATAAAGTGTGATCTATTAAAATAATTAGTTTTGGTTTTGTTTTTAAGAATATAAGAATTGTCTTAGTGTGACTATAAATACTTTTCTATACACTTAAAATATTCGTTATAAAGACTTTTATCATTAATTAGGCTGCCACACTTCAAATAGGGAAGGAAAAAAGGTGAACAAAAGTATAATCCTATTTAGACTAAGTTCATATCTCAATTTAAAAACTCAGCCCGAACAATCTCTACTTCCATGCTCAGTAACATCCAAATTTTGAAGCAGAGACGATTCAAAAATATGCAAATTTAAAAGAAACTGACCATTTGTATCTCAGGAATTAAATGGTCACTTGCTCGAAAGGTTCCTAAACATAAAAATTTAATGATTCTATAATCATCGAGAAAATGGGGTGAGCGTTCAAAATCTCAATTTCTCACATGGCTCCAAAGTTCCTTGTGACAAATAATAATTCCATTAATAATGAATGAATATAAAAATTAATGGAAGTAACTCGAGTTTTCGCCATTTTTGGTTGTTGCTGCAAATATTTTCATCAACAACCAAAAATTACAGCAAATTTTATCTTTTATTTAAAATCGATAATGTAATTGAAAATAATCGCATTTGCTGTCTAAACCAACCGTTAATAACAAGTTTTTTGCAGTAAACTAAATTAAGTTTTATATAATTTAATATTTGTTAAATATTACCTTAATCGTTATTAAACTATATTAAATTTTTTTTCTTTTATTTCAGTAACTTCTACAAAGTTACTTTTCCTAAATTACACTTCAAAAATTGCAAAGTTGTAACAGGTCTGACTTCATAATAAATATTATAAAATATAAAATAACAATTATGAATAGGAATTAGTGTAATAAACCAAACTCTATCAGTTTATTTATTTATTATTATTACCTTTTTTTTCATTTAATAAATTAATATTTTAGTAAACAAATGGCTGTTATATCCTAATTAAGGAGAAAATGGAAAGATGATATAAATTGCATTTCTCACACTTATTAATTAAATTATTAACCAATTTATTTCATAAATAAATTATTAATTATATGAAATATTTAGGTCACGTATTAAGTATTTGTTTTTATGAATAAAAAAATCGAGATACATTCGTGAGAAAAGTGAAATAAGGTTAGGTTGTTAAGCATTATAAAAAAAAAAGAAATCATTTTGACATTAAATTGAAAGTGTGAGTCATAAAATATTTTAGAAAATATAAAATAAATAAAGAAAATATTTTCTCGAGCAAATACAAAAATACTTTCAGAAGGAATAAAGTTTTGAGTGAATGAGTCAAATAAATACATTTATGATGTATAATAAATGTAGCATGTAGGCTACAATTGGTTTAGAGCAAGATGGAGAACTTGTTTATTGAGCAAGAAAAAGTAAAAAAGGAAGTTAATAAATTGTGTAGAGGTGTTTTTATTTTATTTTCGGTTTCTCGAGTGTTTTCGTGGGAATTGTATGCTACTGATAATTCTATACACTAAATTTAATTCGGTTATTTTATCCTTTTATCATTTTTATAACAATAAATAAATGATTTTTCTTAGTGAAACTTAAATGAATATTTCATAATGAAGGGATGAGTATGCATTTCAACTAGTGTTACCCGTTTACGCCATTTGTAAAATTTAATAAATACAGTACTAAAAGTAAATCGAATTAGGCCTATATGCTTCCAAAACTTATCAAAATTAAATTTCATTTTAGAGCGTAGATTTCTCGGGTGTATTGAGTCATTTATATATAATTTTATTTTTCTGCAATCGTAGACTGCGAGTTTACTTTATTATCTTTATTAAAGATTTATAACAATAGATTTTCCGATATTTGTGAGGAAGGTACCATATAGAACCACGCCATTTTAGTGTCGTCAGTCTTTTCCGTTCTCTGTAAAGTCGCTTTTTCCCTCCCCCTCTTAAATTTATTATAAAATATTGATATGTAGAAATAATAAATATATATTTATTTTTCGCAAAGTTTAAAACCAAGCCATTACGTGTAATGCTATAAATGTGTGTGGTGTTATATTGGCATCGTTATATATTAATGGATAAATTAATAAATTAGTACAGTACTGTACATTGCACAAAGTTTAGCGTTAACTGTAAATTATAAATACAGTGTATATATGTGTAATGTTTGAATAACACTCAAATTTTCGATTGAAACGTTTAATATTTATTCTAAAGATTAAGCGCTCGCCTCTTTTTTTTTGCAGAAACTCGCTCCTACACTCAAAACAAATTCATGTATTATTAAGTTACAATCAAAATGTAATATTCTTTTAATTTCCCTTTTATTTTATCCCTCACGCAGTCAATACTAACCGGAGTTTATTAAATATTGTATAAGCGCTGGGTAGAAATACCTCTCCTAAGAGATATTTAATATTTTCCAGAATTGTTTTACTTTAAATAATGCTCAGAATGGATTTTTATGTTATGAACTTTATTAACGGCTTTATGGCATTTTTTAATATTTAAAATATAAATTTATTTATTAAACTTAAAAAAATAACACTCACCAGCATTCCTAAAAACAATTTTAAACCAAACGTCATTTTTTTCTGCGGAGATATTGCTGGAGGCGTGTAGTTCTATCCTTACGGAATCCCTCGAAGACTGTAGAGGAGGAGGAAGGGGATGATCGTCTTTGACGACTGATAATATGGGGCCGACATCCAACATCCCATCTCTAATCACTAACCACCTCTTCCAAAGGGCTAAATTGAGATGTTGGAATTCTAAAGTGATCGTTTCCGAAGGATTGACGCGGAGATGCCACACCACTGGATATTCGCAGGGCGTTACGTAACCGGATAAGAAGCCTTCTGAAGTGACGTTGATGCTGCAACCGCACCAACATCGTGTAGAAACCAGTGGACTTTCTTCTACAACGTACGTGGTTATTTCTACAAAGAAAAATATTTAATTCATCAGAAAAGAAAAACAGAACCGGCGAAGGATCGTGCGAGTTTCTCTTCCCAAACAAAATTAGTTTTCTTTCTTTATTTTGCTGCCTTAAAGAGAATTTTTAACGCATTAATATCCTTCAAAGCGATCTTTTTCTCGATACATTATGATTTGTGCCCCGCGTAATGTTCCATAAATATAGATATCAACGAAAGAGCGCACATCGCAGATGTTATAAATCTCACGCTCTGTGATAAACAGGTATTAAAGGAAGTATCGTCCCACATAAGTTCTGTGTCACAGCAAATATATCAATTTTGTAAAGAATTTTTGCTTCGAGGCGAACAAATACTATTTATAAATCTAAATGCCAACTACAAACACTACTTAAAATAAAAAGGTGATTATTAATCTGCATGTGAAGTGCATCAAACCAATAATTGTACCTGTACAATCGCTGTTGCTACACGCTTCTGTTTGGACGGGACGACCTTGACAATTTCCATCGTCGTTGGCTACATTGCATAAACGATATCTACTACGTACACCTGATGCACACGTGGATGAACACGGGCTCCATTGGCTCCATTGGCTCCATTCCGTAGACGACCCTCCTGACAGAAAAACCAAAGAAAACCCAACTGGCTTGGTTGAAAAATAAAAGAAAAGTAACTAAATAAACATAACTTAAACATATTTTATATCATTTTAGGAATTTTGAAGGTGTTTTCTCCCCCCTCCGGTTTGTTTGAGTGCTAAATAAAAACATAAAAATTATCCAAAAACGGATTTTCTAATAGCTATAAATTTATGTTTCTAGACGGAATTTAAGATTGAGTTTCGCACGGTTCACTTTTAAATCTAATGAATAATTTATGATTTTTTCCCTTAGGAATGCATTAATCAAACGGGATTGTCACCCGATGGTATAAAAAGACGTACAACTTCCAGTTTCGTGTTTCCCCTTGGAAAAATTTTACACGTAAATCAAATATGTCAGATACTTAGACGTCAGGAATACGTGTTTATAATTAAGGTTACACTCTGAATAATTGAAGAAAGTTTATATAAAATATAATTATAATTCACACGATATACATATGCAAAAAATGCAACAGGATTCAATTTTCTTTTAAGAGAGGATTAAATAGAATTTAATCCAATTAAACAATCTAAGCACGAATTAAATCAGTGTCGCAAATCTTCCACTCGGCCATGTAATGCGTGCCATATTATAAATCAGTCAACAAACAGGCAATCCAGTTAGATACCATAGTAACATAGTTTGTATAATGGCAAATCATTCTCAACCGTGAAAATGTCAAAAGTCTTGCACGTAAGATCATCAAGTCCTCAATCGAATGCCACGAATTTCTCGACTTTACATTAAAACTTTGTTTTCATGATCTAATTTACTACTAAAATAAATTTTTCAAATGATGCTGTGACCAAGAACAGCCATCTGGGCAGACACTTTAACCATTAAGAATTAAACGTATATCTTGCACGCTTACCTGGATCAATGTTTCTAGAAACACACTGCCTGACTAGTTCGAATACTGCACCATTATTCGCTTTGCTGACATAAACAAAACAGAACGAAGTATATTCTTCTCCGAGTAATTCGCAAGTTATGGTAATGGAATGTTTTCCTTTCTTAATTTTTCTTTCGAATAAATAGTCCATATCCTGATGTCGAGACGTTTTCTTACCGTACACTCTAATTCTATCCTGATCTAACGTGCATCGTGGGTATTTGTAGACCACGGTTATCCCGTGATTACACGGCTCCAGTGTAGATTGAGGAACATTAATAGAATAACGATGACTCCAAAGAACTTCGATAATTTCACTTTCGGCTATTTGTACGTTGTCTTCGGTTCTTATACGGATCTAAAATAAATAATAAGCTCGTTAATCATTAATATAACATACTAAAATTGAATTTGTAACGTTTCTTTACCTTATGATATCCGGCTCGATCGAATACTTCGCAATCCAAACTAACTTCCACGTTTTTGTGAGTGAAAACCGGAGGAAGAGTCTTGTTTAATAGGATATACGAATGATACCACGAGGTGTGTTGAGATACCGACGGAAGACTGGGACCGAGATACATCAGTTCTAGATGCATTTTGTAATCTTCCTCTTCTCGCGGGTGACATTTAATCATAGCCAGCAACTCAACGATGAAATCGGAACTGTAAGTCTCCACTAATAAAGGAACGTGAACGGCTATTTCGGGCCAAGTAACTTCCATTATTTCCGATTTTGCTAAAACTTTCTCCTGCTAAACGAAAATTACCGCTAATTATATCATCTATTATCTATTTTATTTTAAAAGTTTCAAAAGTTTTACTGACTCCTTCAGTTGTTATGAGTCGGAATTCGAACTTTCCAGCTCTATCCACGATTCCGCAGGGAAAGACTATTTTCCCAAATGATACAGCTTTCGGCACCTCCTTCTTGACCAGATGTCTTTCTTTCGAGTCACTAATGTCAGTTAACTGAACTCTAAGGGAGGAAGCATCCGCCGGAACCTTATAATTGGTCTCTATATCACCAGATAACGCCACGTACTTCTTAGGAGCTGAAACTGTGTAATACTTCCCACCTAAACAATAAAATTAACGTAGAAATTAATCTAAGGAAACGTATATCGTACTGGCTTTTTCCCCAAACGTCCCATTTAGGCCTCCCGTCTAGTTTTATAGTTGCCATCCCCTTTCCCATTTGCACAAGTGGGCGACCGAACTGGTGAGAAATCGGAGTTGTTCCGCCCGTCATCAGTCCATTTATAAAGTTATAATCACAAGTTATAAGACAGATAAGCTAACGGAGCATTAATTTAATTGAATAGAAGTATACATGACGTACAGCAATCGACTTTATACAAACACGTCAATCAAACAACGGGAAGAAGAATAGAATGGAAGAAGAAACTATTCGATGCCAACGTGTGATAAGCTACTCTGGGGTTTAACTTAACTATTTGTATTTGAAGTCACATGCCAACGGGATGTGACACATATTTGTGTCGATTGAAAGTCGTTTAATCGTCTTTCGAGGTGTTGATAAAGCATTTAATAACAGTCGTTGCGCGCTCCTCTCGGCTATTATCCGATGCTCGACTTATTAAATATAATAAGATGTGCAGCACGTCCCAACTGATACTGAAACGAGCCGAAAGTTAACCTTCACTATCAATTATCTTCGCTGCCAGCTCGACTAATTTTTACTTAAATTGTATTATATTTAATTTAACTGATAACATTTTATGACCCGAGTACTAGAGAAAACGTTTTACACAGTACCATTGTTAAAAAGCAGATAAGCATAATGCTGATCGATGCGATAATGTCTTCTCTAACTCTAATATATAATTCTCTTTCCTACTTCCTAACGAGACGGCATCAATTAAATCATCGTTATGCATGATGAATGAGATTTTTATTCATAAATTATCAAGCATATAATTGATAATGTTGTTTTTATTATTATTCGAGAACATAATAGATTTTTTAAAGATAATTTGAAGGTTTTTTTAAAATCATTAATCACCAAATCTTAATTCTAGAATGGGCGTGGATCCAAAAGGGAATGAATCTCACTCCCTCATCCTCACAATAGCCAGGTTGACAGTTCCAATTGTTGGATGTGATGAAAGAACTCTCACAGATTATCTCGAAATAGAGAATAGGTGCAGAATCAGAACGGAAACTCAGCTCTGAATCACATATCTAGTCACGATAACTTTCATTTTTTATGACATTTAACGATCTGAATCGTCTCCGTGTATTATTTTGTGTTGAGTATATTGTAAAACCGCAGTTGATTAACACTAGAAGGAAGCTAAAATGTTCAATAGATTGATAACACTTGCATTTCTAATAAGTATTTTTCTGAAAAATTAACTACTTTGTATTCATTAAACTCTATAGAAGCAGTTAAAAGTCACTAAAAGTTTCCAATGTAAAGTCTTGTGTCTGCACTTTGAGCCCCTAGCTATTGTCGTTTAATTAATTCTAAGGAGAAAAACGGGCATAGATAATTCGGGTGACTGACCCAAAAATTATGTATAATGGTAGACAGTTGAGTAAACAGAGAGAGATATTCAAAAATGGGATTCTTAATCGATTTTCCTGCTGATTCAACATGCAACTGTTTGATTGTCTGTAATTTTAATTTTATTGTATTTTAATTAATTAAAATGCATTTTCTTTTATAAGACTTACCGTGTTTAAACAACGACCACACAATAATTTAATTAAAACTATCGAATAAACTCGATAAAAACTGTTTAATTATCGAAATAATTTATTTTTCAATAAAAATAATAAATATTTTGAATGCTTAATGATTTAATAATTAATTTTGATAAAATAATGATACTTACAGGCAACGTAGAGGAGGTAGAAATGAAGAAAAATCCAGACCAGAGCCAGATCCGCAGCAAATGACCACATGTCTGCCAGAAGAGTGAAGTCTTTTAGCCTGTTCTAGGACCCTGCGGAGAGAAGGGGAAAGTTGTATTGTCATCGGGGACAAGAAAGGCAAAAACAAGTCGGCGTTAGAAAACGGGCCAAATGTGCCGAAAGTGGAGTTTCCCCCATTTTTCCGAGTCGCCCTCGCATACCGAAATTCACGTGACTACCTTACGTCACCTTCAATGTGAGAGAATGGGTGAGGTGATTTTTCCATCGGCTGAACATCAATGATGCGATCATTTTCGGTACCAGACCTATAGAAACGACAATCGATCGGTCGTGCCCGTCATTAACACTAAGGTTTGGGTTGTTAATCCTTAACTTAAAAAGTTTCTATCGTTTTTATAATTGGGTTCTTTTAACGTTGAATCTACCGAGCATAAAATTCCAGATAAATTTTCGTAAACCTAAATTGGGCCCACTCGTCTAATGTCTTTTTTTTTTTTTTTAATCGAAAGAAGACGACACTTTGAGTTAGTATCGCTGTCAATTCTTTCTGCTTCATTCGATTCTTCATAAGGCAGAATTTTTTTTTACATTAGTCGAACCAATATGTGGACGGGATATTAATGAAGAAGATAAACATCTTTCTATACGTTTAACGAATAGAAACGGGGATAAATCATTATCGATAGCCTTAACACATACATAAACAAGTTAATAGTTATTGTCTATCCTCTTTTGTGTTAGGAAACGACTGCGTGGCGGTCGAGTTCGGAATAGAAAAGAAACCAACAATTGATTCGGGACACTTAGTTAAATCAACAATTGAATATTGAAAAAAAAAAACCAATATGACTTTGAATTGAACGCTCTCCGTAAGAAACCCTGCTGTGAACTGTATAAAAAAAGGGCTTACCCTGTTAGCCAAAACATGATTACTCCAGAGTGTCTGACTCAATGCTAACCACCCATTCTAGATAGCCCTCGACCATGTGGGCACATTGTCCGTCCTGGCGGAAGAAACACGAACTAGCATCACGTGATAGGTAATCGAGATAAGTATGATTAACAACACAGATAAGACACTTTATGTCTCGATAGTCTATGCATCTCCGTCTATATATTACTATTGATAGCTTTATATACGAGGAACTGAGATAGTCGACGAGCATCCCGCATTAATCCGAATATTTCGTGCCTTCGTAAGCTAAATTTTCAATAACACTTCACAACACAAGAATTACAATCAATGAAACTGTCTGTTCGGCAATAATTTCTAAAAAAAATTATTTATAAACGATTTCGTCCCCCCCAAAGATGCGGTGCAGTCAGATGCGATATATCAGAAACGACAGGTAAGGTCTATTCATCCAGAGAAGCGGTCGTGCTACTATAGTAATAAACACCTGCCGTTAAGTCAAGCGAAACGTTTGCTACTTATAAGAATGAAGAGAGAGGGAAAGAAGGTCCAACCCGGCAATTCCAATTAATGATATTGTAGATGGCTACGAGATACAACTCTAATAACTGCTGCGGGCCACTTCGGTGCACTGACCCACACTTTAAGGGAGGGAATAACCGCCAAGTATTAATAAGAAAAGTATGCGTACGACAGGGTGGCACTTCGTCGTGGATGCTGCCGGCAGATACGTACTTTTTTTTTTTTGTAAATATTCTCAACGACGAGTCGTGTCTTTCCTCTACTGTTATTACGGTGGGTTGTTTGAGTTTGCTGACAGTGTAATTGTCTTGGGTGCAGGTTGATGTCGTTAATAGTCCGCTCTGTTTCACGTTTTTTTCATTCTGACTTGTCAGAATTTTTGATATTAATGGCTTATAGATACTCTCTCACCTGTTATTACCTGTTTCTGCGCGCTTCTTAACAAATTCGTGACGTAAATAGCAAAGGTTAAATGAGTTTTATCGAAGAGAAATCTTTCTTATTTGTTTTCTTTCAATCTACACTTTCAAGCGACAAAAAAAAAAGAGGAACCTTGTAATTTATGAAAAACTTAATAAACTTGAAATTTAGTAAAGAGATTTCTTAATAAACGGATTATTAAATTAAGGAAGAGTATACAAAATTTGCAGTTTTTATGAAAAAAAAAAGCTGTATTTTTTGCTTTATTCATCGTTATATCTGAAATAAATCGTGCCATATTATTATTATTTTCTTTTTCTTCTCGTAACCATCGAGAATATCGCGTGTTACACCGAAATTAAAACCATAATAGCAAAAAATCTTTACGTTATAAAGAAATTATTAATGCTGATATCTGCTGTCGTGCCGTAACCCAAGACTAGGCGTGCCTGTATTGCACTTGTCCGGACGTAATTCGAAATTGTGGTTTTTAATCTTTTTTCTTTTTTTTTCTGTAATTTCTGCATTTTGTAACGATTTTATACGACAAAATATAAGTTTAAAAAAGTTTTTCGTGGGTCAATAAACCGTGTTGAAAGCTGCGTGTCATTTCATAATTCTTACTTTCGACTACTGGATAATTACACGAAATGAATAAATAAACAGAAAATTAGCCAGAAAATTGTAGCATTCGTCACCGAAATTCGAATTGTGATGTCATAATTGAGTAAAGTGCTATTTACTTCTTCTCTTTTACTTTATCTACATTAAAGCAATTTTTTAATGATGCATTGCGTGAGGTAATTAACCAATTGCATACAATTAGGTCGCCCACTTTCTACCAATAACCGATCGAGACGACAGATGTGACACGAAATTCTAACCCTTTTTTTTTTTTTTTTTTTTAATGGCTCCTCCTTTCTCTCTACAAACTAACAAACACGGTAAATCCAATGACGGTTTCCCGTTTGTAAACGTAAATTTAGCCCAATATCGAGAGGTTAACATCGAATTTAGTCGCGGATGAGCACAATGGAGAAGATTATAAAATGAGTTTTTACAAATTTGGAACCAATGATCTTTGACAGGCGACTCATCGATCAAATAATCTCCCACCTTTCTATCAATTAATAGACGGGTACGACAATCGAGGCGCGACTTTTCGTTGAATATTGTCACGATAGTATGACTCACTAATATATATAACTCGGATTTAATTAATTGAGGCATGCCGAATTAAAGAAAGAGAAAAAATATGCACCCGATCGTATGCAAAATACATTGCATAATTTGTATTAAATTACAAATACTCGAGTATAAAACTTAAAAAATCTTGTACAAGATGCTCTGTTATAAATCAATTATAGAGTTAATATAGTTTAAATATAGCTCTAGGTCAACTCAATTAAGCCCATTAATTAATTTAACAAACAAAACGTTTGTTTAGTCCACTTAATTAATTNTTGGATCATAAAATGAATTTATATAATGTTAAAGTTATTATTTTTAGAATAAATAAAATTTATAGATATTAATCTGTAGTTTTTTCTTTAAAAAAATCACACATTAAAAAAGGACAATTTTTATTTTTTTTTTTATTCTTGATATGTACATATCACAAACATCACAAAATTTGTGTCTTCACTGGACAGAAAATGACATCAAATTTAAAATTCCTCACAGAGGAATGCAATAATTATAAAAATACAAACATCCACAAAATCTAAACTACTTTGGTGCAGATATAATTTACATAAAAGTAAAGTTTTAAGTTATATTAATATAGCATCAAATGAAATGTATTCAAATTTGCTTTTAATTTGCCAAATATTATTTAAAAAAATTATATAAAAGTTCTTGAGAATAATGATATCTATATATATATATATGCACATTTCATATTTTAATTTATGAATATTGCTTTAATATATATTTTGTAAAATGGAGGATTGGCATGAATTACGAGTTATTGATTTTATTTAAATGTGTGAAAGCATAAAGTTATATTTATATTTCAATAAATATTTGTTTTTTATATTTTACAGTCAAGTTTACCTTATGATTATCTACAATTTACTGATAAGATATTCTAACAATTTTCAAAACTAGAATGAGTTTCTTAAGCAAAATCCTTAATTTATATGAATTATTTTATAATCAATACACTTTTTTAAGAAACTCAAGCTTTAGTAATATTTAAGTAACTTTGTATAGCATATTAGTAAATTCTAATACAAGAAATTCTGTGAGAAACCCATTAATAAATAAGTGCAAATACAAAATAGAAAGAAAATTGAAGAGCATAGCATATTAAATATATTAAATGTTTATTATTTTGTAATTACCTACAGATTTTTTTTATTCATAAGATCTGTGCATAAGTATTAACTTTTAAAATGACTAAATAGTTTTTTTTAAATTTAAGATTGGAATTGTTGGGCGAACAGGAGCTGGAAAATCATCTATAATATTGTCTATTTTTCGAATTATTGAACCAATCAATGGATGTATTTTAATTAACAACTTGGATATCAATCACATAGGCCTTCAAAAATTAAGATCAAAATTAACAGTTATACCTCAGGTTACTTTCTCTTTATTCATTAAAATTATTTGTTGCATATAAATTTGTAAACATACAATAAGTTAATCTTTGTGATTTAGGATCCAGTTATATTTGGTGGTACATTAAGGATGAATCTTGATCCATGGGATGAGCATGATGATGATAGCTTATGGTCTGCTTTAGAGCATTCTCATTTAAAAAATTTTGTATCTTCTCTTCCTCATGGTCTTGAATATGAATTAACTGAAGGAGGCTCAAATATCAGGTATACTTTTAATAAATTTTATATTTGTAAAGATTCAATAACATTTAAAATAATTAGGTGAGGTTGAGGCTGAAGTTTTAAATGCGAAAACGTTTACTTCGGACGTTCAGCACCGCTTTCCTGTAAGCCTATAAGTTTGACAATGGTGTTTGGATAGCCAGTGGAATCATGCTTGACATTCCAAACACCATTGTCAAACTTCTAGGCTTACAGGAAAGTGGTGCTGAATGTCTGACATACACGTTTTCACGTTTAAAACTTCAGCCTCAATCTCACTATTATCATTGACACACAAAAACCCTGAAAGCATCAAAAATTAAATTTTTCAGTAGTAACAAAAGGCAATTAATATTGTATATAATAGTATAAGATTTTCCCATGTGAA